GGATCCTACTACTGTAAGCCACTTGAGCACGCCAGATTTGTCTTCGAGATACATCCTTCGCGCATCAGGTTACGATAACGCTCGTTCAGCAGGTCAGCGTGGAGTAGGTATTGTACTAAGTAACAGGGCGGAGTTCTCTCTTATCGGTTGGATCCCAGTCAACAGTCGTTTATGCGCAGTTCGTATCCAGGGTTCGATCTGCGTCCCTAAACAAAAGGTGTTTGTTCATCGTATTGGCATACGCACCGACCAATTGCAGCTCTGAAACTCAAAAGGACGCTTTCTACGATGAACTCATCGATCTCATGCGGCTGAGTCGAAGCTCCGACATAGTTGCACTTGCAGGTGACTTCAACGCAAAAGTTGGAAAACTGAGCGCATCAGAAGCTTGTCTAGGCGGAAGTTGTGCTCTTCCTTGCCAACGAACATAATGACGATCAACTTCTTCAGTTCTGCGCGGATCATCATCTGTTCCCATCTAGCACCAACTTCCGACACAGCTCTCAAAGGACGGCAACGTGGCGCTCCAGTTCAACTAGTAGGTTGACTCCAATCGACCACATAGCAGTAAGCTACCGTTGGCGTGGCTCAATGCAAACTTGCAGGTCCTATTGGACCACCTGCATTGAATCTGACCATCCGTTAGTTTTGATGCAGTTCACTCTCCGACTGACTGGCCGGCGACGAATTCAGCAAACTCATTTTGCTCATCATCGATTATCTGTTCCAGCAGTTCGTGTGCGCTATGAATCAGAGCTGGTGTGTGGACTAAGCGCGCATCAACCTGATGACGTAGATGTGTAGTGGGATCAGATTAGGCGAGCAATGCATTCCGCATCGAATGTTGCTTGTGGTTCGGAGCCTCAAGCCCGTCGAAGGCATTGGATATATCAGGAGTCAGTAGCCCTTATGGAGAAAAAATGACAAGTCCCGTCCTGCCAGGATCGAAACAGTTAGGCGGCAGCTACAACGTCAGCTCACGAAGAGCCTAAAGAAGGACCGTGAGAATTGGTGGGCAACAATAGCTAGCGAAATGGAAGTAGCAGCTGTTCCGATTGATACGCATTACGGGAGGTCGGCGAACTCCAGTTAGTGAAAGTCTGATAAGATGGGACAAGCTATTCACCATAGGGATGAACGACTTGATTGCTGGGCAGAATACTTCAGCGAACAGTTCAGCTAGCCTGCCGCTAACCAGGTTGTCTCATCAGCAACTGAAGCTCCTTGGGCA